AGTTACCAAACCTCCTGTACTTTATTTTCTCTGTTTGCTTTGGTAGGTTCCTGTTGCTGCAGCTGAAGGATTTCTGTGGCGAGTTCCTGAAGAAGAAGCTGAGCCTGACCAACTGCGTGGCGGTGCACAGCCTGGCCCACATGTACACTTTGGACCAGCTGGCGCTACGAGCTGCAGACATGATCCGCCGCAATTTCCACAAGGTGATCCAGGACGAGGAGTTCTACACGCTGCCCTTCCACCTGGTCCGCGACTGGTTGTCCGATGCTGAGATCACGGTGGACTCGGAGGAGGTGCTGTTCGAAGCCGTGGTCAAGTGGGTGCAGAAGAATCCGGACGAGCGAGGCCGCTACTTTGAGGAGTTGTTCCGCCTCCTGAGGCTGCCACAGATCAAGCCCACCTACCTGACCAGGGTGGTGAAGAACGAGCGACTGGTGGCCGCCAACGAGGCCTGTCTGCGGCTGGTGTCGGAGGCAGTGGAGGGCCACGCGATCCGCTTTGAAAACCTCAAATCTGCCGACATGGAGTTCTGGTCGTCCCACATGGCCTCTTTTCAGCCTCGCTTTGGCCAGAATATGGACGTGATCATGGTGGTGGGCGGAGTGTCGGAGGGAGGGGACTACCTGAGCGAGTGTGTGGGCTACTTCATTTACGAGGACCGCTGGGTCAACCTGCCGCACATCCACAACCACCTGGACGGCCACGCCATCGCCGCCACGGAGTCCCACGTCTACGTCGCCGGCTCTATGGAACCGGGCTTCGCTAAGACGGTGGAGCGCTACAACCCCAACCGCAACACCTGGGAGCAGGTGAGCAACCTGACCACGCGCAAGCACTCTTTCGGCCTCACCTGCATTAAGGATATCTTGTACAGCATCGGCGGCCACGGCAACTTCAGCCCAGGATTTAAAGACGTCAGCGTGTACGAGCCCGAGCAGGACAAGTGGCACAACCTGGAATCTGCCCCCAAGATCCTGCGAGACGTGAAGGCGGTGAGCGTGGAGGACCGCTACGTGTACGTGACGGCACGCACGCCCGTGGACACGGACAACGAGGACGGACTGAAGACGGTGACCACCCGCTACGACACGGAGAGCCGGCAGTGGCAGGACGTGGACTCCCTGCCGCTCATCGACAACTACTGCATATTCCAGATGGCTGTAGCTTCCACGAATTTCTACCACACGGCCTCCTGCTGCCCCAAGAGCTACACGGTGCGGGACGAGGTCGCCAGGCAGAAGATCAGCGTGCGCATCTCCGACGAGATCCTGGAGAGCCTGCCGCCGGAGGTGACCAGCATCGAGGGCGCCGCTATCTGCCACTTCGACGAGGACGTCTTCATCATCGGAGGCTGGAAGAACAGCGACGATGTGGACAAGCAGTACCGCAAGGAGGCCTACCGCTACTGCGCCGAGAGAAAGCGCTGGATGCTGCTGCCGCCCATGCCTCAGCCTCGCTGTCGAGCCACAGCCTGCCACGTGCGCATCCCGTACCGCTTCCTGTACGGCTGCCAGCGGTACCCCATGCCCCAGAACCTGGCTCGCCAGCGGGATCGCATGCAGCAGATGCAGCAGCTCCACCGGCGCACCCTCACCCTGCGCCGGCAGCTCCAGTCGCAGATAGAGTGCTGAGCGAGTCGTTCCTAGAACTCTGTCCGAGGATCAAGATCCATCATTTCACCGCCACCGCCATTCATACGTAAACAAGCTGCAGCGGGGTCTTGTGTTGCTCTCATTCTGGGTTTCATTAAAAAAATCAGAACTGTCGTGCCATCAGCTCTCATGCCGTGTTGTGTTAATGGCTGATTCGTGGAAAGCCATGAAGCGCGTGGGCAGGCGTGTGCTGACCAGCTGGAGGTCTGCGAGGAGGGAAATGTAAACATGTGAATAAGAGTGTTATATAGCAGCCAACAACTGAATATCCTTTAGTCATTTATGTTGGTATAGATGCTGTTTATCTGTTTGTACATAAATAGTAAAAAAAAAAAAAAGCTGTTTATATGGATATTTTACATTCCTTTATGCCTCTACTGGAAAGGAAATGTGATATTAGTAAAAAATGGCATTCCTACATTCTTAATGAAGTCTCATTCCATTGTAACACTGTGACAATCTCCTCATGCAAAGTGTAACATCGGTCCAGAACTTAGATCATAGCTGCTCTATTAGAATGGCTCTGCTTGTTACTGTGCAGCCTTAACAACTAAACATGAACTGATCCGGAAAGGCTGTTAAAAACTCCTGTAGACTAGTTTAGATTCTCTTCAACAGTTGTACAGAGTACGTTTCTGTCGTTTTCGTTGCTCACCGCTAAAGTTTCTTCAGGACACACTTGAGAGAGAACTGTAATATCCCAAAAGATGTGACAAGGTGTAATGAAATCATTCCTTTGCTTACCGTTCTGTTCTGCCGCTGCATTAAGCTCTAATCTTTGGAGAGAGAGAGAGAGGAAAAAAAAAGGCGCAATCATTCCTTTATTTTTGCACTTTGGAAGTCTGTTGGTCAGTGTATTCCCATTCATTTAAGAAAGGTGCATCATTTGTGTGTATAAGTATGTTTGTGGGAGTGTGTTTGCGAAGAAGCTTCTCTGGAACGGCACTTTTTCCACATCTAATTGTTTTTAAAAGTCTTAAAGAAGCGTAGGAATTTAAGTAGCCACTGCACTTTGACTTTACTCATTTCATTTGTTTCATATCAGACAAGGTGATTGTATTTTGGAACTGATTTATTTTAGCCAGCTTCCAGCCAGTAAGATTTGATCTTCCTCCAACGAAAAGATTTAAAAAAACATGTTATCATTATCGGCGGATTTGTTTCCAGCATTAAATGTCTAGTAAAAAAAACTTGTGTTACTGTACTTCACTTGCAGCTGGGTGTAGAATGGAGATGTGGTATGTCGATCGGCGGTCTCCTTTTACCCACCAAAGAGACTTAGAACTGACATGAAAAGGAATCAGACACGTAGGCGAAGCAAAAGGGACTGTTATATGAATGTGTTGTGACTGACATTCAGAAATTCCCACTGTCCATGCAGCGCTTAATTACAGCATCGAGGTTACAGAGCGCAGAAATGATATTCATTTCCACTTTATGACCAACATAAATAGCACTGCGAATATTAACTGAAATAAGCTATGTAATTTGCTTTGCATGTGATAGTCTGACATTGTGTCCTTATATTGGATGTAAGAAATGCTAATGTCATCACTTGCAATTAAAGTTGTTTTGTAAGACTGACGGTTGCACGTGTGGTGTACTTCTTCTTTTTGTTGGACTTTAAATATATTTTAGCTTGATTCATTTTAAAGTCTGATTAGTAGTGAAAAACTGGAATTGCTTGTCTCCTAGAAAAACCTTTTGGAAGATGCCCATGGGAACTATGGCTGCTTTTCACATCAACATTTCTATGTTAAAGTAACTTAAGCGTCTCATGCTCCAACTTTTTTTTGCTGCTTAATACAAAAAGGAAACTTGCACGGTTATAATTTTCCATGACTAATCTGCAAGAGAGTTCTGTCTGATAGAACGTCATTTACTTTCATTTAAATTTTCTTGATTCCTGAGTTTTTTTGTTTTGTTTTTAATGTTATATTAAAGACAGAGTTTGTTGACATGCAGGTTCCACATGTGCACAGCAAAATGAGCAAGAACCAGGAGAGAAACACTGAAAATGAAGATTTAGTTACAAAAAAGAAATGTGAGTTGTAGGGCTGCATAATTAACTAAATATTATCATGATTTTGGCTTTTCACAAACATGATTGACTGTGTGACTGACGTTCAAAATGTTCCACTCATGGAAATAAGACCATGTAGCTAAAATTTAATGGTTTCAACTTGGGTAAATCTGACATTAAAATGTCTTTTTTCACACTTTTCACAGTAGTTTGTGATCTCACAGCTGTCTTAGCTGCAAAGCTGACTGTCTGCTTCAACTGCAGTGTGAAATGACTTCAACTTAAACCAACACTTGTTCACAATGACTCTGAATTTGTTGATTTTGAAAGTTGAAGTCAAATTAAGCAAATCTGAAGTTAGAATACCCGATTCTACACTACACCAACCTAGTTTCTCGTCTTACAGCTGTCTGCAGTTTCTGAGCGGAGACTCAAAGCTTCTCTGTGCACAGCTGACTAACCAGTTTCTACTGTAGCCTGCATGTTTCAGGAAGTCGGTAAATCACAGTAATAAATTGATAAGCAGGTGTTCAGCAAGTGAGGTGTGCAGCACAACGTGGAAGTGAAAGCAGCACTGTTAATTTAAATGTGGAAGTGCAATAAAAAAAGTCTCTAAAATCAAAGGATAATTATGATGAACAATCTTAATATTAATTAATGTAATCGTGATTGTCATTTTAGCCATATTTAAGCAGCTCTAATGAGTTGTATGGAAATATTTGGGCTACAGAAAGGATGATTAGAACCAAAAACAGCAACTTTTGCCACCAAAGAAGGCAACACAACTAATTTGGTTGACCATTTAAATCAGCTTTACAACTGCGAACCCATATCTGAATGTCATCCAAAGCAATGTTTTTTTTTGTTTTTTTTTTTATTTAACTACAAAATAAAATACAATACAAAATCTTTACAGTGGCTGGCAATCTTTCCCAATCTTTTCAGAATAATTATTTCTAAATTGAAAGCGATCTGTTGAAAATTCCTGCATTTTTTCAAACCACCACATAAATCACAGAAGAACTAATATTCCAGATATCGGCTCTCATAGGAACCTTATGTCGGTGTCTTTGCATTTGGGGAAGAGAACACATTGTCCCACCTCGAGTTACACAAGTAGCGCTGCTGCCTTCAGGTGCGCCACAGAGGCTCGTAATTCTAAATACACAACATACATCGCTTTTAAATTACTATGCTGAGACGGCTTACATATATAACAAGCACTCGCCTTCACAGTTTAGTTATTTGAACAGCAATATCGAGCATAGTTTATCCATTTATTTTGTTATTTAGGTGCAACGTGGAAAAATTGCGACTTTTCCGACGGCCCCTGAAGGCAGCAGGGCAGCTCTGGCTAACTAACAGATGAAACTGTCGTTCACATAGAAGCGATAAATATCTAAGAAGACTCGCAACTAATGAGAAAATAACCTCCACGGATCGGCAGTACATTTCAGAAAAATGGTAATATTATTTAGCACGATTTAAGAGACAAAAAAGCATGATAAAGACACAACCGACACCAGCGAACTTGTGTGCTAGCTGGCTAAAGCTAACTCCCTGCTGTAGTGCAGCTAGCTGATGCTTGTCTTTGTTAGCAAATTTAGATCATCTTTATTTATTATGGAACAACAGATTAGCTGTTGTTCTGCTGCAGGGTCAGAGCTTTTATGATAACTAATACTGTGCAGCAGTGAGTAAATTATGTGGTTAAATAGTGTTGTTTAGCTTAATGCTAACACCTGGCAGATTAGCTGATACCTGTCCAGCTGCTGTTTACTACCTGACAGTTTATAGGTTTAGCTAAACTCCAACCACATGTTGTGTTGTTTAGGGGTTAAACTGGGGTTTGTGAGGAGGAGGAGGAGGAGCTCTTGTCTAGTGAAATCATGGCTCATAGATTCACTGCAGACAATAGAAAGTAATTAAATCTGTACACAGTGTGTTCATTGTTCAGATAAACAACAGCTCTGTTTCTGTGTACATGTGCTGCAGCTGAATTTATTTTGTTTTTAATGTTGTTACGCTAAACAGATTTTTAAAGGAAAAAGACAGAGCATTGTCATTTTCATTTTTTTTGCATTGTATCCATACCTTTTGGTAATTTGGATGCAACTACATGGAAAATAAATCTGAAGCAAAAAGTGTCACCTGTGCAAAGAGCTATGGTCTAGTTTGGTCCACAAGTCAAAGATTTTCAGTTTAAAATATTCACACTTGTTAAGCTGCAATCCAACAATTTAGACCTGTTTTTTCTTTTTAAAAAATTGCTCAATAGCTGGTAAATGGTCTGCACTTATATTCAAAGCGCTTTACAATGTGTATCTCATTCACACACACCAATGGCGACAGAGCTGCAATGCAAGATGCTGCCTGCCATTGGGAGCAACTTCAGGTTCAGTGTCTTGCCCAAGGACACTTTAACTGTGTAGGGGCGGGGGATTGAACCTCCAACCTTGCAATTGGAGGACAACTGGCTCTACCATCTGAGCCACAGCTGCCCTATGACAACTAATCGACTAATCATTAATAAAAATACACACATCTTTGTGTTGATCCAGCTAAACTATTTACAGTAACTTACAGGTTGACTGTCTGTTGTCTTATTTTTTTATTTACTTCAATGATTAGATCAGTTCTGTTTATGCAGTTATGCCACTGTTGCAAATATTTTGGCAGTTCAGCAAAACTACCAGTAGCAATCCATTTCATACTCCTAAAAAAATTGTACATAGAAAAAAAATATTTGCTGAAAATAAGAATATACTGACAGCTCTGATGGCGCTGGTTATTCTTAAGATTTCACTGTAGACACTGTGCAGTAGCCCAGCAATTAGCCTGAGGCTGTATCGTCACGGTGACACAACAGAGATTGAAATAATTGGTGAAGTCACCTGCTGTGCCTCCTGTGTACGTCTCAGTTTGGATACTGCAGCTGTGTGATTTCAGTAGCTGTATTTGAGTTGCTACTGACTGTTTCATCACTATACCTTCCTCTCTGTGACGTCCACAGATTCCAGAGCTGTCCAACCCCTCGGTGTGTATGAGGGACCCTCAGAGGGTTCAAGAGATCCTGCAGTCCATGGTGAAGGCTGGTTCCAACACCCTGCAGGTATCATCACCGACAGCTCTCAGAAACACTCTGAAATATGCCGCAGGCTGATGAGGTTAATATTACTGTTATTTGTCATTCAGGTCATCTCAGATTTTGACATGACCCTCACAAGATTTGCATACAACGGAAAAAGATGCCCCACCTGTCACAGTAAGTACACTGACGACTTAGAGGTTGCTTACTGTTGCATAGGAAAGTTGGTTTTAGATAAACTGTTAACGTCTGTCACTTTGTGTTCTTTGTTTCTAGATATTCTTGACAACAGCCAACTCATCACTGATGACTGCAAAGAACAGGTAGGAAAGATGCTTCAGTGCAGGAGCAGGGTCATTATTAAACTCACACTGAAACATTTTCTACCATCAGTATACTGTCTTAAAGATAGTGTGACACAAAGTAAAAATAGCTTTTTAGCTGTGTTAGGAGTTTTGTCATGTCATTGAGCTGTACTTATATAGTAACAGTGATTGGTATTTAATAAAAGGTAACAACAAAACTTACTGCATCACTACTAACTACAACTACAAATCATCTCATTTATATTAAGGCTGAACAATTTTGGGGGAAAAAATCCATCCATACATTTTTCTGACACTTATTGGGATTTGATTTGTGACATAATTTTAAGTCAAGTTTCAGGCTGTTCAGTATTCACTGTAGTAGATTTAAAATGTGGTGGAGTGTTACTACAAGAGAGCATCAGAAGTATGACTGTAAAACAACACGACGGTTTAAACTTTGAGTCAGATGCTCCTTAAACTCTGAACAATGTGCAGCATAAACAATTCCTTAAAGTATGTTGGAATTAAATCAAACTGGATTACAGCATCAGTCTTATTAATTAATTCCAGATTCGTAGATCATAAAATTGCATCATTTGCTGATTGCATTGTTTGACATTCTGATTAGTTGCTCAACAGTATTGTTGAATGTGGTTGTTTTCCTACTGAACGCTGCAGTAGGACATGAGTTACATGCAAGTTCAACTTCAGGAACTAGTTTCTCTGAAAACAATCAACTATTATGATTTGGAGTTTTCCCCACTTCACTTTTTTTTTTAAAAAACAGCAACACACTTGACTTATACTCTTGTTTGATACTTTCAGTCTTTTGCACTGACCCTGTCTGCCATCTAGTGGCTCATAGGAGAAATACAATATGCAGAAGACGAGCTGATATCTGTGACTTACGTCTTATCTTGTAGTATTGCCGACATTAAAAGGGCTGTTCTTCTGTTAAATAGTAGTTTTATTTTCTGTATCTGCAGTGAGAAATAAATGAAACTTATCAGGAGAAAATAATGCAAATGTTTACAGATTGTCTGGATTTTGTCACTGTCGTAGCTGAAGGCAAAAATAAAACAAACCTAAGAGGAACCAATCCTGTCTGTCTGGAATTCTCAAAGTCAAATCAAGTTTATTATCATGTTGCTGTACATACAACAGTAGTACAGGCAAGATGACAGAGCGTTTCTTGGGATCCAATAACTTAAAGCAATTTAAATAAACAAGTGTTTGCCAGTTCAGCATTCTGACAGCTTGTGGAATGATGCTGTTGATCATTCTGGAGGTTCTTCCTTTAATGAAACGTTTGCCTGATGGCAGCAGTTCAAACAGTTTATGGAGACTCTGGCTCTCCACCACACCTCTGTAAAAAGTCCTGAGGATGCTGCCAGGGAGAGAGGCTTGTTTCAGCTTCCTCAGGAAATGCAGTCTCTGCTGGGACTGTCATATAATCTGACATGAAAGTTCCCACTGAAGGTCTGAGGGTGTACAGTGCATCTCTAAGGCTAGCTGGTGTTAAATATAAATGTTTCAATGTTTACTGACCAGATAATCTTCACTCTGTCCCGTCTTCTTCAGCTGAAGGAGCTGCTTAACACGTACTACCCCATAGAGATCGACTCCACGCGGTCAGTAGAGGAGAAGCTGCCTCTGATGGTGGAGTGGTGAGTATCGAAGTCACATAGTTCATATTTATGTTCAACACAAGCTGCCATTATTAGTGTCATTCCATCTCAAATCATCAACCATCTCTGCTTCGCCTGTAGCATAAAATATGGATATTTGTGAATTTTAGTCTGATATGTCAAATACTTTCCATTCAGCACAATGTTTCTCACACTGACATTTGAGGATGTTCGAACAACAATATCTCAGGAACTAATAAAGATAAAAGCCGGAAACATGCTGAAAGTGAGTCGACGGGCAAATATTTTTTAAAGTATCTCGGAAAGTACTTGACACATCAATCTAAAATTTCACAGATACCATTTTTAAAATTCATAGTTTATGATAAAAAAAAAAAAGTTTCAAGCAACCTGCGTTACAAACTGTCTCCCAGGTGGACTAAAGCTCACGAACTTCTGGTCCAGCAGAAGATCAAGAAGGACATGCTGGCGTTGGCGGTGCGCGAGTCTGAGGCCATGCTGAGGTACGAGAAAATCGATCTGGTGTTCTGACTGTTTAGAAAAAAGCAGATATGTTTTAATAACGGGTGGATGTTTTAACAGGGAGGGCTACCAGCTCTTCTTCGATCACCTGTACGAGCACAGCATCCCGCTGCTCATCTTCTCCGCCGGAATCGGAGACATCCTGGAGGAGGTGATCCGCCAAGCCAACGTCTTCCACCCCAACGTCAAAGTCTTCTCCAACTACATGGACTTCGACGAGACTGTGAGTAGCAACACGGCAAACTGCAGCTTTCCTCCCACAGAAGGGGCTGAAACGATGGTTTGACTCGATCTGTGCAAACAGGGGCTGCTGAAGGCGTTCAAGGGAGAGCTGATTCACATCTACAATAAAAGAGAAGGTGCGCTGCTCAACACGGGGCACTTCCAGGAGCTGCGAACTCGACCCAATGTTCTGCTGATGGGAGACTCTCTGGGGGATCTGACCATGGCTGATGGAGTTCAGGACATGGAGAACATCCTCAAGATTGGGTACCTCAATGACAAGGTACGGAAAAAGCATGCAATCTCATGTTGATGAAAATGATTTGGATAGGAGTATTTAGTGCCTGTCAAATCAGGGCTGCGCGATACTTAAAAAAAACCTGATATTGTGATGTTTTGTTTTCGGCAACATGAAATAAATGCGTTGCGTTTTGTCAACAACGACCTAAAAACCGGTTTTTGGTCA